CCCCAGAGAAAAAAGATGCAGCCCACAGCACTGAGGATACACATGAGAACAGCAGCCCAGAACTCACTGCAGGTAAGGTTTTAGCTTTCAGGTGAGCCCTGGACTGACACTGGGGAAGTAAAAAACATGACTTTGAGCTTTCAAACTGTTCCGTTGCACCTTTTTTTTCCTTTTTGTCTTTTTTACTGACCGGTAACGGGATCGCAACCCTCGGTGTTGCGCCCGCACCGCGCTCAACCAGTGAGCGGGAACCGGTCTCCACATGGGATCCGAACCCTCGGCGGGAACACTGCCACGCTCCCAAGCGGCGCACTCTCCAGTGCGCCACCGGGCCGGCCCTCTGTTGCACCTTTTACCACTGCAGTGTCCTGGGATCTGGTTGCTTCCACTGCCACTATGAGTCTTCTGGGACAGTAGCAGGCATTCCTTCCTAAAAGCTGGTATGACAGGACTAGAAATTCTAATACAGTTTGTGCAGTTACAGATAGCTGCATATGATGGGGTGGGGGGAGGTAATAAGCAGATTCAGGACACTGAATCCAGTTAGTCCCTTCATATCTTTTCTTGATTATTAGTGTTGATACTGCAGCTCTCCCCTGTTGTGCTTACGCCTCTGTTTGGGCCTTTGGAGGCTGCTCCTGGGTGCGGACACCACCTTACCCTTGATGTGTGTTATGGGGAGGTGTTGGTGTGTGTGATGTGATGGCAATTATAATGATGTCTTTTCTTCACACATGCTACCCCCCCAACAGCTTTCAGAGCTAGCAGCAGCAAGTGTAACAGCAACTCACACATAGTCACTGGCAAGTGCCATGCACTATTCTGAGCTTTTAAAATGTATTTTGCTCTTAGTTCTCAAAGCAATCCTAAGCGGTATAGGTACTATTATTATTCTCATTTTATAGATGAAGTAACTGAGGCCCAGAGATGTCAGTAAACTTACCCAAGGTTACACAGCTAGTAAAAGAGCCATAATTCAAACCCAGGCAGCCTACCTCCAGTCTGTCTCTGGAAGACCCCAGTTAGCAGGGATGCCCTCCTACAGATGCTGAGTTCTTTGGACAAAACAGTATTTGGGCTTGAAGGAAATTGGGGATTGTGACTTCAGCTTCTGTGTTTTGTTGGTAAATCCCTGTTTCCAGGGTCACAACTACAACAAGCTCATGTTGTCTGTGCTTAGGCCTAAGATATGGTCCTGAATCATTGTCAGTTGAGCCATGTTTTAAATGTTGTGGGAATAATGATGGCAATAAGAAAAGTTTTATTTGTGCAGTGAGGAGAGACAAAAAAGTAAGTTCTTTCCCTTAGAAGGAAGAAAATTAACATTTAATTCAACACCTTCTTGGACTCCACGGAGATGTTGGGCTCATCCACAGACCTTATCTCAATTTAGTCCTTATAAACAGTGATTGTCTGGGGTGGGTGGCATTAATCATGTCTCACAAATGAGAGAGCCCAGGCTCAAGTCAGGTAGAGCAATAGCGGGAAGAGGAGCTGAACTGGAGCCTGCTGCCTCCAAAGCCCGTCCTTTCACCGAAGTTCAACGTGAGCCTTGAAATCCACGTGTTTATAATCTAGTGGACCCCCTGGAAGATTTCTTGCGCTGTTCTGCTCTACAGACCTGCAACTCTTGCCAGCATCCATCCTCTGTCCCACATGGGCTGCTCTGCTGAAGAAAATGACGGAACAACTGGGTGTTGATGCCATGATACATCCATAGTCCATTCACTGAGGCATCTTTGGTTTATCAGTCCTTTCCTTGTCTTTCTGTCCCTTTCTCCTCAGTGGCTATGCCACTCTTAAAAATCTATCCCTAAGGCCAGCCCGTGGCTCACTTAGGAGAGTGCGGTGCTGATAACACCAAGGCCACGGGTTTGGATCCCTATATAGGGATGGCCGGTTCACTCACTGGCTGAGCGTGGTGCTGACAACACCAAGTCAAGGGTTAAGATCCCCTTACCAGTCATCTTTAAAAAAAAAAAAAAAACTATCCCTGTTTATCAGCCAGCCAACAACAACAAAAAAAGTCTATCCAGCTCTGCCTCCTGACATAGACTTCTACTTCACACGTACCGATTTCTTTTCTCAGTAAACTCACCTAATTTGTACTCCCCCCTCCGCCACTGCAAAACCTTGTCATCGTTCAGGCTCAGAGTGGCATTGTCCTTCTTGCTTTCTCAGGACCTGCCTGCATCAGTTATCATTTCTGCCTCTTCAACTCTCTTCTGAGTTGTTCCCTCAGCAGGTCCATCTCTCATGTCTTCAAAAGGAAATCTCTCACGACCTTGGAAATTCCTCCACCTACCCTCAATATCTTTCCATCTCAGCCAAGATTCTCAAAAAAGCAAAGATTGTCCCTTTCTTCCTCTCTCATTCTCTCCCTGACCTTGGGCACTTGCTTTCCAACTGTGGCCTCTGAAACTGCAAGTTCTCTCATTAGGAAAGGCCTCTTAATTATGAAGTTAGGCATTTATTTTGATCATATCTGAACCATTTGCAGAATTTGGCACTGTAATACTGTGACTCACCTGGTCCTTCTCTCTCTGAGCTTTTCTCTTCAAATACTTTCCTCTGGCCATCCCTAAACAGTGTTTGTCCTGCACTCCATCCCAAGCTGCTATCTGCCATCCCAGCTGTTGCCCACTGCCTGTGCACTCAAGACCCCCAAACTGGTATGACCAGCCCAGGCCTCTCCTGAGTGCTGCTCTGTGTGGAGGTCCCATTGGTACCTCAGCTTCCTCTCTGGATACTTTACCCACCACACACACATCCCAAGATCAGCTCTTACTTTAGCCTCTGTCATGATTAACAGCACTGCTATCTATCCAGTTTTACACATCTGAAATATTGGATTCATTTGAGAGGCCTCTCATTCTCATGTCCCACATCCAGTTCATCACCAAGGCCTCTTGGTTTGGCCCGATGAATACTTTTGATTCCTGGTGATGCCTTCACTTCTGGGCTTTTGAGGTCTTCCTGCCTCTAGTTTGATCTAAGCCATAAATTATCTTTCAGAAACACAAAATTAATTCTATACGTCTCCAGGGCTTAAAACTCTTCACTGGCTTCCTGTTTATTTCCTACAAATAAACATCTGTTTCTTAGCCTCCTCTGATTCCTGCCAACCTCTTCAGATTCATTTCCTAGGATCCTCCACCACGTATTTTATGTAAAATGTTGCTTTATGCCTTTATGCCTTTGCATAAAGTTTATTTGCATAACTTTTGGCATGGAATTCCTTTTCTCTGCCTTGTCTGTCTGGCATATTTCTCTTCACCCTTCAAAACCCAGCTCAGGGTTTTGAAACCTTTCTTCACTGCGAGATGGTTAACGGCTTCCTCTTCTGTTCTATCCCTGAGCTTTGCACACACTTCTGCATCCCTCTAGCATCTGTGAGATTCTCCAAGGGAAATGCTCATTGATCTACATTCCCAGAACCTGCTTAGGAAGAATATATCCATTCAAACTCGCCTTAAATTTGCACAAGTGAATCAGTTAGGAGTAGAAAACACGGCCTACGGGCACTGCCCAGTGCAATGTGAGCAACAAAGGGAGAGGGAGTGGGGCCGGCTTTGGGAATCGGAGCTTGGTAGGGAGAGAGGAGCTTTACAGTGCAGACTCCATGAACAATCCGTGCAGAAAGAGATTGAGCATGCGTGAGCCCCAAAGTGATGGCCTGACACAATCCCAGATGCCCCTTCCCAGGTCCGGCTCAGAGGGAACAGAGAGGCCCCGAAATCATTCTGCAGCCTCAGCCTGCTCCTGAAGGCGCTGGAGCTGCAGCGTTTTGATCTGGACAGGACCTGATGCCAGAAATGCGGTGGGAGGGCTATGAGAGCCGTGCCCAGCCCCTGAGCGCCCTTTCTCCCAGGTTTACCTCCTGCCCCAGGCGGCTTTCTGGCATAGGACCATGGCAGTAAGATGAACTGGGATTATTTTCTCCTAGAGCCCAGCGGGCAAGCAGAAAACAAGAGGCTCAAAAGGGGCAGCCTCCGCCAGGGCGTGGAGGAGATGCGAGCTCTCCACTCTGCCCGGGCCCCGAGCCCATCAGAGGCGGCCCCGTGCGGCCCAGAGCCCCCCGCGGCCTCCCTCGCCCCTAGCGGAAGGGAGGCTCGCGCGGCCCACGGCCGGGTCCCGGCGCCTGGCAGGACGAGCTCCGGGAGCGACCTGGAGGTAACCCGGCGAGGGCCGCGCAGGAAAGGGCGCGGCGGGAGGGGCGGGGACCCGGCCACTGCCGAGGGGTCCTCACCTCGGGACCTTTTGCTCCCGCAGGACGCGCTGTGGCTGCAGGAGGTCTCCAACCTG